CCAATGTTTGTACAGTAGATTACATTTTACTAAATAAACCAGTTTTGCTCATTTAACCTAATTTTAATGTTTTGCTCTGTGTGCACCTTTTGTTGATTAATGTGCAGTTTTAATCATTTATATTTTCACTTTTGCAAACAAGGTGCTAAGTGATGTCATGCCATGTTGTCGTTATGTGCCATGTGGGGTTTTAATTCTCTTATAGAGAGTTTCTATTAACATATAATATTCCGGTTACGCTACGAGAATTTGCAGTTGTATTTGATGCCTTGACATCAGACTCAAAAATGCTTTTTAGAAATACTGGCAGACCTCCACCCACTTCTGTCTCCCTCCCCGCTGTGGCTGAATCACCTGTTGGAAAAATCTGTTTTTGTAATGTTCCTCGAAATATTAAGAACATTCGTGCCTCGTTTCAAAAAGAAACTGTATCTATTCCAAATGTTATGTTTTATTAGATGTGATTTTCACTGGAAAAAAGTTTGGATGAGGTATCTACCTGATAGTAAACCAGGTGAAAGAAGTGTCGTTCAGAATAATTCACAGATATTATCCTGCTATTTATTACATGGTTAAATTTAAAAGAGACATCAATACAAACTGTTCTTTTTCTGAAGACCACCCAGAAACTGTTCTGCAACTCTTTTGGTATTTGCTTACACACCAAAACATTTTGGCAAAACCTCAGCAGATTCATCATTGAACATATTTATAAAGACTTTGACTTATTGTGAGAGAATGTGGTATTTTTCTTTTATAGAAGTCAAAGTAAAGACAATATGTACTTCATTATAAATGTATTAATTTAATCTGTTGGCAAAATTCCACATTCATAAATGTAAATTCAACCTAATTTTGTACCTTTTCTCCATGAAGTTGTGCATTATATTAATTTGATTTCTGGCTCCAACAACAAGAAGGTGGTTAAAACTGTCAACACATGGTCCTTTTTCTCTTTGTAATAACATTATTTCACTTATTTGTATTGTATATGTTTGTATACTGTTACATATAGAAATCTCTGTAAGTCACATCTGAATTGTTACCACCTTTTTTGCAATAAAGACTTTGAAAAAAATAAAAAATAAAATAAAAAAAGTGGGGTTTTAATTTGATAGCAGAATCGCTTATTTCCGGTCCAATCAAGAAACTTACCTTTAACACGTTTGGCGTAAATGACGTCATCACGCTAGGGGAGGTATATCATATTTTGTATATCGATTATCTGACTCTGCAAAGTCACTAGTAACTACAGCTGTGAAATAAATACATAGTGTAGCAAAAACGGCAATATTGGCTTAACCTTCGAACTTTAGTATGACTTTTATTTATTGTTTGAAATGTTCAACATAGTTTGATGTTATGTAATCTATAAATACACTATCTCACCTGAGGCGGACACGGGAGGGGATGTAGCTCAGTGGTAGAGCGCATGCTTTGCATGTATGAGGCCCCGGGTTCAATCCCCGGCATCTCCACTAACCTTTTTCTCCCCACGACCAGAAAACTCACAAACTAAACTGAATTAATAAAGTATTTAAAGTACTTACCGTTAAATAGCCAAACATTTACATTATATTTTGTACTTTTGTGTCTGTCTGTTATTATATAACTCGCTGTAATCGTGACGCAGTTCACCAGCTTTGGAAACACGAAGCTTTATAAAGACTGGATCCCAGATTTAGCTCACACACAGACTTTAATCTTAAATCTACATACATATATTGATGCATCGTCAATAATAGATAATAAGCTTTTAATTAAAACAGACCCGCTACAACCACACGTGGCGTCTTTAAGGTAAAAAAAAAAAACGCCACTTGCAGCGTAAAGTAAACCATCCAGTTATATTCACCACATCCAGCGACACATAGAATAGCTTCACTACTGTCTTTTATTTTGTAATGTTGGACTAAAATACATTTTGTCGAAACAAAACACGCAGAAAGGACTCATTATTGAGACCACCTGACATTTCCCACAGTTTTAAACGCACCACGGGTAACTAAGGAGATCACAGTGTTTACTACAAAGATGTCCTCCTCGCTAGCTGCTGCCTCGGCTCTAGTCAGCTAAATGGCCTTAATTATGTAAAGATTCCCGCTTTATCTCAACACCAATAACATCTTCCCCGCTGCGAGCTTCCTAAACACTAAAGAAAAATGCAACTGAAGCATCTTAAGACGCTGTTAACCCCGCAGGTGAGTTCAGGGACACTCGTTAGCTTCATGAAAGCAACACCAGGAATAAAAAGTGTGACTATGTAAAGGTGCTGATTTAATAACATGAGCCATAAAAGCTGTGTGTTTTGGCATTTAAATGACTTCATTGATTTGTGATTAATTGGAATTAAATACAGTTTTTGTGTGTTTTTTTTTAAACATTTATCTTATTTTGTCTGCTAGCAAATGTGCTGCGTTACTTGGCTGATAAAAGTACTGCTAATACGCCCTAAAAGAGATAATTCTGGTATAGCCAGAGGTTATATCCTACCAAATTAGATCATCTTGAACAGATAAATCTTTGCCTTTAGCCCCTGTCCTTGCAGAATTAGATAAAACTACGCAGAGAGATGCTCAGCAAAGGCTAAGAGGCTTCAACCAGTTATGACTTCTGTACTGTTTGTGTTTCTCTGTCTTCATTAGGAGGGTGCAGCCAAAGTGACCTGCATGACCTGGGCACCGAATAACACCAAGTTCGCTGTTTGCACTGTGGACAGAGTGGTGCTACTGTATGATGAGCAGGGAGAGAGGAGAGACAAGTTCTCCACAAAGCCCCTGGACTCCAAAGTGAGACTGGACGAAGGGGGCAGAAAGTCACATTTATTACATCAGAGAACAAAAACTGGATGTAAAACAGCACAACGCACAGAAAATAAGACATCTACTACTAAGAAATAACAACAGGAAAGAGTTACAACCTTACTTGTGACACTAGAATTAGGAAAAAGATCACATTATAGAGTAATGTCAGTGAAAACACTTTTTTTAATAAGCTGAATGAAGACAGATATCATTATTTACTGTACAGGTGAACATAATGAGTAGCATTGCAATACGAACCTGCGTTGTTGTTGTTGTTGTTACTGTGTTAATAATCTTTTTTTATTGTATTAATAATCGTAATTTTACTTGTAAAGCTCTTCTCAAGCTTGAGCACAAAATGCGTTCCAGATTAAAAGATGTACAAAAACAGAAATTACAATCAGAAACCCAGAAAATAAAAGCGCTGAAATATTCATATATAAAAGAAAGAGTAAGACACAATTAAACATTATTATGATATTAAAAAAATCAAAACTGCACCAGCCTTCAGAAAATGCCCCTTTCAAAATTTAACAAAATCTATTTTTTAAAGGGATTACATCGAATACTTTAAGTAAAATTATCTTAATTTTAGTTAAAGTAAAAAAAAACATTCTTGATCAAGTAGCTTTAGTAATTTAAACTGACTTAATTTTGTCATTTTTATTTGTTCTACGAAAACAAAATACCCAGTAAAAGCTGCTTAATCGAGAATCATTTTCAACTTACAAAATCACACAAAGGTTTGTGTTACTTAAAGTGTTTGATGTAATCCGCTGCAACAACTCTTTTGAGTTAAAACAACTTATCAGGAGAGGTTACCAGTGTGTGAATAATAACTGTGTGTGATCTTTTGTCAGTATGGAAAACAGAGCTACGTTGTCAACGACATGGCGTTCTCACCGGACTCCACCAAAATCGCCATCGGCCAGTCGGACAACATCATCTTTGTGTACAGAATTGGAGAGGATTGGTAATGTCCTGCGGCTCGTCTCTCGTATTAAACCTGATCCTGTTATCTGCGTCTATGCTTGCAAACTGATTGTTATCAATGTTATTTTCTCTCCCAGGGGCGACAAGAAAGCCATCTGCAACAAATTCGTTCAGACGGTAAGTTAACACAAGCAGACACTTTGTTTAGCTCGGTTGGATGTACCACTGTATGTATTGTTTGTTTAATACACAAGATATTTGGCCATTTTACAGATGTTTTAGTGGAGTTGAGGACATATAAGGCTGAAAAGTGTTTCATGAAGATTATGTTACAAAGAAATCTGCATATTCTGTATAGTTGTAGCTGCTGTTTTAGAGTAGGAAGTTTCAGTTTCTAACTTTCTAAACATCCTCGTAATGCAACGTTTGATTCACTGTATTGCAGAGCGCTGTGACTTGCTTGCTTTGGCCTGCAGAGCATGCAATTGTTTATGGATTAGTGGATGGCAAGGTAAGTCTGCAGCCTGTTCTCACCTCCTATCTGGAGTTATTATGTTAATGTTACAGGTTATATATATATA